AAGAACAAAGAACAAAGAACAAAGAACAAAGAACAAAGAACAAAGAAAATTACAGCACAGGAACAGGCCCTTCAGCCCTCCAAGCCTGCGCCGATCCAGATCCTCTATATAAACCTGTCGCCTATTTTCCAAGGATCTGTATCCCTCTGCTCCCTGCCCATTCATGTATCTGTCTAGATACATCTTAAATGACGCTATCACACCCGCCTCTACCACCTCCGCCGGCAACACATTCCAGGCACCCACCACCCTCTGCTTAAAGAACTTTCCACGCATATCTCCCTCAAACTTTTCCCCTCTCACCTTGAACTCGTGGCCCCCCAAGTAATTGAGTCCCCGACTCTGGGGAAAAGACTTCTTGCTATTCACCCTGTCTATACCTCTCATGATTTTGTAGACCTCAATCAGGTCCCCCCTCAACCTCCGTCTTTCTAATGTAAATAATCCTAATCTACTCAACCTCTCTTCACAGCTAGCACCCTCCATACCAGGCAACATCCTGGTGAACCTCCTCTGCACCCTCTCCAAAGCATCCACATCCTTTTGGTAATGTGGCGACCAGAACTGTACACAGTATTCCAAATGTGGTCGAACCAAAGTCCTAGACAACTGTAACATGACCTGCCAACTCTTGTACTCAATACCCCGTCCGATGAATGAAAGCATGCCGTATGCCTTCTTGACCACTCTATCCACCTGCGTTGCCACCTTCAGGGTACAATGGACCTGAACACCCAGATCTCTCTGTGCATCAATTTTCCCCAGGGCTTTTCCATTTACTGTATAGTTCCCTCTTGAATTGGATCTTCCAAAATGCATCACCTCATATTTGCCTGGATTGAACTCCATCTGCCATTTCTCTGCCCAACTCTCTAATCTATCTATATTCTGCTGCATTCTCTGACAGTCCCCTTCACTATCTGCTATTCCACCAATCTCAGTGTCATCTGCAAACTTGCTAATCAGACCAACTATTCCTTCGTCCAGGTCATTTATGTACATCACAAACAACAGTGGTCCCAACACGGATCCCTGTGGAACACCATTGGTCACAGTTCTCCATTTTGAGAAACTCCCTTCCACTACAACTCTGTCTCCTGTTGCCCAGCCAGTTCTCTATCCATCTAGCTGGTACACCCTGGACGCCCTGCGACTTCACTTTCTCCATCAGCCTACCATGGGGAACCTTATCAAATGCCTTACTGAAGTCCATGTATATGACATCCACAGCCCTTCCCTCATCTATCAACTTTGTCACTTCCTCAAAGAATTATCAAGTTGGTAAGACAAGTCCTTCCCTGCACAAAACCATGCTGCCCATCACTAATAAGCCCATTTTCTTCCAAACGTAAATAGATCCTATCCCTCAGTATCTTCTCCAGCAGCTTCCCCACCACTAATGTCAGGCTCACCGGTCTATAATTACCTGGATTATCCTTGCGACCCTTCTTAAACAAGGGGACAACATTAGCAATTCTCCAGTCCTCCAGGACTTCACCCGTGCTCAAGGATGCTGCAAAGATATCTGTTAAGGCTCCAGCTATTTACTCTCTCGCTTCCCTCAGTAACCTGGGATAGATCCCATCCGGACCTGGGGACTTGTCCATCCTAATGCCTTTTCGAATACCCAACACTTCTCCCCCGGCTCCCCCCGCCCTTATGCTGACTTGACCTAGAGTAATCAAACATCTATCCCTAACCTCAGCATCCGTCATGTTGCTCTCCTCGGTGAATACCGACACAAAGTACTCATTAAGA